TCTCTTGATGATTCTTTTTTAAAATTAAAACAAAACTCAATGTAGAAAAAGAAAAAAAATTATAAACTTTTGCACTTTTCCAAAAAAAAAAAGAAAAAAAAATATCTTTCAAAGCTATCATTATTTAGCTTAAAAAACAAAGAAAACTCCTCAATTTTAAAACAAAGTGGTGGATATCATTATTAAAAGAAATATACTGTACTGGATTTCGCTGTACCGTTAGGTTCTGCCGCCAGAATGCAAAGTTAGCCGATTTGGGTTTACTGGAGTTCGTTGAGGTCGTGTTACTGCAAGTCGTCGGATCTGTTGCTCATCGTTGGGATTGGTGGTTGGTTGTTAGAGGAGGGTGGATGAGAAGGGGAAAAAAGTGGCTATGGAAGAGAATAGTGGGATTTGAGAGAGAGAAAGAAAATGGTGGCCATGAGAGGAAATTGAGAAAAAAGAGATTAAAAAAAAAAACTCTGTTTTCCTTCTTTGTGCTCTATTTATCCATGCGTGCCTTCCTTGTGTTTCCCCCAGACTTTCTTAAATACATACAGATAACAACAGTAATATGGGGAGGGTAAAAGAGAGTTAGAGAAAAAGAAGGGAAAGAAAAGGAGAGGAGGTCACGTTAGAGAAAAAGAAGGGGAGTAAAAGGAGAGGAGGCCACCTAGGTGGCTTTGACCAGGAAAAAATCAAAGAGGAAAAAAACTGTTATTAAAAACAATCATTTAAATAAAAAAAACCTAATTTACAAAATAAAAGTAAAAAAAATCAAATCAAATCAAATTCTTTTTAAAACAAATTTTTTTTTTGTTAAATTTAATTTAATTAAAACTTTACATTAAAACTTATAATAAATTAAACTTATGTTATTTTTTAAATACAATAATTAAAATTAAAATTAAAAATAAATCGGACCAAATACGGTGTCTACAGATGAGGCTATTCAGTATAGTGGCGAAAGATATTACAGCGAACGAACTATTGCAAGCCTTGCAAGACAGGTATGAGAAACCTTCTGCCAACACTAAAATACTTCTATGGACGAAGTATTTCAATATCCATATGGAGGAGGAAACCTCGGTGAATTAAGCTCACCGACATATTGAACAAACTAGAAGGGATGGGCATTAAGATTGATTAAAAGGTGAAGACTATGAGGTTGCTGACATCTTTACCTGACAGTTGGGAGACGATGAAAACCGTGGTGTCGAATTCGTTGGGAGATAATAGTCTGAAATTTTCAGCTATTTGTGATGTCGCCTTATTTAACGAAACCAGGAGGAAATTGGAGAAAATGCATGCATCTACTTTAGGAGTAGAAAATGGAGTTGAATTAGCTATTAGTAGCTCACGACAGGGGAAAACCAAGATGAATTACAACGGGAAGTATCAACATAGAAATAATAGGGGTAGTAGGAGTTCCAGCAGAGAAGTGGGGTGTTATTACTACCACAAAATGGGCTATTAAATGGTTTTGTAAGAAGTTCAAATAAGATTTTGAGAAGGGGAACAATTTTGCAGATATTGTAACGGGAGAAGAACGGATTGAAGAGTTTCTAGCTTGTGTTAAGAGGAACACATTTGTAGACCATTCATCAAAGTGGGTAGTGTACACTGCAGCATCAACATATGTTACTTTAGACAGACGTTGGTTCTCATCGTTTTCTACAAGTGATTAGGACTCAGTGAGGATGGGGAAATGTGAGTGTCCCAAGGTGAGAGGAGTTGGAGATGTTTGTTTGATGATAGGTGAAGAAACAGAGTTGGTGTTGTGAGACGTCAAGTATATTCCTAGCTTCTGATTGAATATGTTATCCGCAGGGAGCTAGACGATGATGGCTACAACAGTGAGTTTGTTGAGGGTTGTTGGAAGCTCAATAGGGAATCTAGGGTAGTGGCGACAAGCCACAAGAGATCTTATGTTTATGTGTTTGAGTTTGGGGTTGCCAAGGGTTCACTAAGACAGAGAATGCATAAAATAGCTGCAGATGGTTCAAGCGAGACCTTAGAGGATCAACAGCATTGATGACCAGAAAATATCAGAAAAATTTGTGATCAGCTCAAGTTAAACAGTAGGGAAGTACAGAAAAGGGGATTGAGAATTTGATAGGCCATCGAGTTCATACCTCAGCTGTCAGACGTTCAAGTGAGCTGGTGAAGCCGCATGGGCGAATTAGTGCATCAAAAGGTACGAGTTCTGTTTCTAGTGTGGCGACATGCTTGGGTGGGAGTGTCAAGCCTAATG